GGATCCTGGGATGGCAGATACCTAATGGTGGCACTCAACTGCTTAAGGCAAGGAGAGCATGGATACCATAATAGCAGAGTCAACGCAGTGATGGGGATAGGCTGACGTGCACAGACCCATGGCGTTGGCTAGTTGGTCATAGTGTGCCTAGAAGTGAAATAGATAGGAAGCCTACTAAATTCTTACTTGTTCTGAATAAGCAGAGAAGTTCTAGGTCAAGTGAACAAAAGTCTAATCCAAATTATAAAAACAGTCATGGCTTCTCCTCGGACTTGAGCCAGTTTACAAACCCAGAATGACTTAAATGAAAGGGAAGCTGGGTACCCTTGAGGAAGGACCCCAGTATACACCAAATATTTATACTGTTAATCTTCCCAGCCTTCCCCAATGGGACCTACAGCTTTTTACCAGGATAACTGTACACTGGGGAAAAGGAAATAATCATCCCTTTGGGGGACTGCTGGCTCTGAGCGGACACTGATTCCAGGAGACCCAAACACCACTGTGGTCCTCCAGTCAGAGTAGGGGCTTATGGAGGTCAGGTGATCAATGGGGTTTTAACTGAGGCCCATCTCACAGGAGGTCCAGTGGGTCCCTGAATCCACCCTGTGGTTGTTTTCCGAGTTCTGGAATGCATAACTGGAACAGACATACTGAGAAGCTGGCAGAATCTCACATTGGTTCCCTGATCTATGGAGTAAAGGGTATTATGGTGGAAAAGGCCAATGCTCCAGCTCTATGTCATACTTCAGTTCCTAGGGAACTTGTTCTCCTTTGCACTACATTGATGATATTACACTGATTGAACCTAGCGAGCAAGTAGTAGCTGGCTTTGTGAGACATTTATGTGTCAGAGCAGGGGACATAAATACGACAAAAATTCAAGGGTCTTTGGGGCATCTGGGTGGCTCAGTTGGTTAAGTATCTGCCTTCGGCTCAGGTCATGATCTCAGGTTCCTGGGATCGAGCCCCGCATCGGGCTCCCTGCTGAGCAGGGAGACCCCTTCTCCCTCTCTCCACTCATGCTCTCTCTCTCTCTGTCTCTCTCAAATAAATTAAAAAAAAAAATTCAAGGGCCTTTTACCTCAGTGAACTTTTTAGTGGTCCAGTGATGTGGGCATGTTGAGATATCCCTTCTAAGGTGAAGAATAACCTTTTCCATTTGGCCCTTCCTACAATTAAAAAAGAGGCACACCTCATGGGCCTCTTTGGATTTTGGAGACAACATACACATTCCTCACTTGGGTGTGTTATTCCAGCCCATTTACTGAATGATCTGAAAGCATGCTGGTTTTGAGCGGGACCCAGGACAAGAGAAGGCTCTGAAACAGGTCCGGACTGCTGGTTAAGCTGCTTTGCCACTTGGGCCATATGATCCAGCAGACCCAATGGTGCTTAAAGTGGTGGTGGCAGATAGGGATGCTGTTTAGGGCCTTTGACAGATCCCTGTAAGTGAACTGCACTATGGACCCTTAGGATTTTGAAGCAAAGCCATGCCATCCTCTGTGGATCACTACTCTCCTTTTGAGAAACAGCTCTTGGGCTATTATAGGGCTTGGGTAGAGACTAGATGCTAGCCAAGGACCATCTAGTTACCATGAGACCTGAGCTGCCCATCTTGAACTGGGTACTTTCTGACCCACCAAGTTATAAAGCTGGGCATACAGAGCCACATTCCATAATCCAGTGGAAGTGGTATATATGTAATCAGGCCTGAGTAGGCCCTGAATGCACAAGTAAGTTCCAGGATAAAGTGGCTCAAATACCCATGGTTCCCACTCCTACTATACTACCTCCTCTCCCAGCCTGCACCTATGGTATTATGGGGAGTTCCCTATGACCAGCTGACAGAGGAAGAGAAGATTCTGACCTAGTTTACAATTGGTTCTGCATGATAGGCAGGCATCACTTGAAAGTGGACAGCTGCTACATTACAACTTGAAGGGACTTCCCTGAAGGACAGTGGTGACCGAACACCTTCCCAATGGGCAGAACTTCTGGCAGTGTACCTGGCCGTCGTGCTTGCTTGGAAGAAGAAATTATCAGATGTGTGATTATAACCTGCTTCATGGGCTGTGGCCAATGGTTTGGCTGGATGGTCAGGGACTTAGAAGAAATACAGTTGGAAAACTGGTCACAAGAAAATTTGGGGAAGAGGTATGTCGAGAGTCCTCTCTGTAGGGGCAAAAAAAATGTGAAGCCATTTGTGTCCTCTGTGAATGTTCTCCAAAGGGTGAGCTCAACAGAGGAGGATTCTAATAGTCAAGTGGATATAGCATGACCTACTCTATTTGATACCAGTCAGCCTTCTGTCACCCCTGTCACTGCCCAATGGGCTCATGAACAAAGTGGCCACGATGACAGGGATGGATTTTGTGCATGGGGTCAGCGACATGGACTTCCAGTCACCAAGACCAACCTGGCTATGGCTACTGCCAAGTGCCTAATCTTCAACTGCAGAGACCACCACCAAATCCCCAATATGGCACCATTCCACAGGGTGATCAGCCAGCTACCTGGTGGCAGGTTAATTACACTGGACCACATCCGTCATGGAAGGGGCAAGGTTTTGTTCCTGCTGGAATAGAAACTTACTCTGGATATGCATTTGCCTTCCCTGCATGAAGTGCTTGTGCCAAAAAATACCATACAGAATGCATTATCCACCCTCGTGGTATTCCATGGTATTCCAGTGTAGCATTGCTTCTGATCAAGGAAATCACTTCACAGCAAATAACGTTCAACAATGGGCCCATGATCATGGAATTCCCTGGTGTTACCATGGTCCCCACCATCTTGACACAGCTGGCTTGACAGAAGATTGAAATGGCCTTTGAAGACCCAGTTCCAGTGCTAGCTAGGGGGCCATATCTTGCAGGGCTGTATGTGGTCTGAATCAGCGTCCAGTATCTATGGTGCTGTTCCTCTGATAGCCAGGATTCACTGGAACTGCGATCAAGGGGTGGGGATGGGAAAGACACCACCCACTATCACCCCTAGTGACCCACTAGCAAAATGTTTGCTTCTTATTCCCACAACCTTATGCTCTGCTGGCTTAGAGATCTTTGTTCCAAAGGAAGGAATGTTTCTGCCAGGAGATAAAACAATGACTCCATTGAACTGGAAGTTAAGACTGCTGCCTAGTCACTTTGGGCTTCTCATGGCTCTGAATTAATAGGCAAAGAAGTTATTGTGCTGACTGAGGTGACTGATTCTGACTACCAAGGAGAAACTGATCCACTACTCTAAAATGGAGGTAAGGGAGAGCATGTCTGGAATTCAGAAGATCCCGAAGAGTGTCTCTCGGTGCTACCATGCCCTGAAATAAATTCAGTGGAAAACTATAATGGCCCAGTCCAATCTAGGAAGGACCCTAGATTGGGAATGAAGGTTTGGATCACCCTACCAGGTAAAGAATAACAACCAGCTGAGGTGCTTGCCAAGGGAAAAGAAAATACAGATGGGTAGTGGAAGGAGGAAGTTATAGATACCAGCTATGACCATGTACTCCTTGTCAAGAGTATTTCCTCCTTGTTGTGTTATAAATATATAAATATCTATATATATAGTAAGTATTTTTGCTTTCTTCCCTCTCTTATCCCCTTATCATGTAACATAAAATATAAAATATATTGACTTTATATCACAGTATTGTTAACTTTATGTCATAGTATATAAATTATGAGATATCAAAGGGAAAAGTAAATATCCCTCAAGGATTTTACCTTCTCTTCTGGGGAAGGGGTTAGTGTGGTTTTGATTGTACACAGGATACTCGCATCATGAGCATTAGGCAGAATTGTAACCTTGTTCGTATCTCCATTTGGGGATTAAGTATTATTTAAGGAGATGTGTATGGGTGCCAAGTTGGCTTGTGGTGGTTAATTTTATGTGTCAACTTGACTGGACCACAGAGTGGCCAGACATTTGGCCAAACATTATTCTGGATGTGTCTGTAGGAGTGTTTATAGATGAGACTAACTTTTAAACTGGTACTGAGTAAAGCAGATTGTTCTCCTCAATGTGGTGGGCCTCATCTAATCAGTTGAAGGCCTGAATAAAACCAAAGACTGACCCTCTCATAAGTAAAAGAGAATTCTCCTGCCTGATGGCCTTCAAACTCCCCATCATCTCCTCTTGTTCTACAGCAGCATCTGGCTTTCTGACTCAAACTGGAACATCAGTTGAGCAGATTTTGGACTTGCCAGCCTAATTACATGAGCCAATTTTTAAAATAATCTCTCTCTCTCTCTCTCTTAGTGGGTCTGTTTTTCTGGAGAACCCTGACTAATGCAGGGGTGAGATGAGAGGAGAAGAGAGCATCAGAGTAATGAACATCCCAAGGGGCAGGTGGCTGAGCACCCCAGTGATGGGGTGGAAGGGAGAAAATGAGAAAACAGAGTTTCCAAGACGAGGTCTCTCTATTTCTCTGTGTGGACCCAATCAAACACATCCACGTACGAAAATCCAGTTTTGTATGGCAGGCAAAGTTAGGAGTCATAGCACCTTTACAAAAGAGGTTTGTAGGTACAGTAGACCTCCCTTATCTGTGATGGATATGTTCCAAGACCCCCCTATATAGCCTGCTTTTTCCTATATATACTTACCTATGATAAAGTTTAATGCATAAATTAGGCATTTCGTGAATGTTGTCTCTCTCTATCTCAAAATATCTATGGTACTGCATTTGCCCTTCTTGTGATGACCTAAGATGATAAAATGCCTAAGTGATGAGATGAAGTGAGGTGAAGGACATAGCCGTTGTGACATAGCATTAGGCTACTATTGACCTTCTGGGGATACCTCATTAAGAGAAAATTGAAACCACAGATAAAGGGGAGCAACTGTGTTTTAAAGCTTCCAGTTGCCCTAGGCATTTGCTACAGGATTGCATGAGCCTACCAAGACTTTTGCCTGAAACCAGGTACTTCTGCGTCGGGCAAGATCACCACAGCCCTCTGAGAGCTCCATAGCAGGTGTGGCCCAAGTCTGACTCTTACCTCTTAGGATGGTGACGTTGCGAAGGATTTCTCCATGCTGCGTGTCCACAGCCTTCATCTCCTCCATGATCATGGAGAGGTTTCGGACGTTGAAGTCCAGCCGCGCACTGAGCAGGCTGAAGTGCTCCCGGAGCAGGTCTGTGGTGCCCAGCATGAGGGAGACGGACTTGTTCAGGTAGTAGAGCTCCTCAGCGTGGGTGTGGAAGCCCAGCGTGCAGGAGAGCCGCACATCGTCCAGGTACTTCAGCATGCTGTGCACGTGGTTGTCGGTGGCATTGATGTTGGTGAAGATGGTGCCGATCTCGATCTCATGCGAAGTCATGCGTCCTTCTAGCGTCTCGAACCTCTCCACCGTGCGGTTCTGGGCATAGTGGGTGTGGTATTGCAGATCATGCATGTTCTCTTCGTGGTCGTCCAGGAAGGACGAGATGTTATCCAGCTGCAGCTGCAGGCCCATGACCTGCAGCACCAAGTCGTGCATGCTCTCGGCATTCTGGCTGATGCGCTGGGAGGAGACCCCCAGGGTGGCCTGGATGTTCTTGACTGCTTCTCCGGTCTTGGCTGAGGTGGTGCGCAGGCTGCTGAAGAGCCGGGTGTAGTTTTGCCAGTCGGTGACAATCTTCTGGAGGGTCAGGGTCTCCTCGTCAGTCTTCCGCCGGATCCCGTGGATCCACTCCGAAGTCTGCCCCACGGTGAAGTTGATCTGGTGGACTGTAGCCTTGACATCATAGCAGTCCTGGGTGAGGTCCTTCAGAGAGAGGTCCAGGCCAGCCGTGGTGGCCTGCCAGCCTCTCACCTGGGCAAGAAAGAGCCCCAGAGACTGGTTGACCTGGTGGATGGAGAATGAACAACTGCCCATCTCCTGGGAGATCTGACTGCTGGTGGTGGAGAGCAGCTCGTGGGTCTGAGAGGTCTGGTCCAGCTGCACCTCCTGGGCCAGAAGCATCTTCTGAATTCCCTCCAGCTCCTCCTGCAGTTTTCTGATCTCTTGCTCCAGCTGCCCAGCCTCGTGGCAGAAGGAACAGTTGTTTGGGGCTTTCAGATCTTCAGGAGAAAGAGACAACATTTTGAGTTGCAGAAGGATCATGGGACAAAAGTTGCTTCTTTACCTATTTCAGAGCATAATGGATTGTCAAGTGGCTTCCCGATCCCTCTTCCTATCCTAAGCCTGCTAGGAAATCCTTTTTGGAAAAGCCTTATCATCTCTATGAAATATTATTTTACCAAATGTCTTTACTCTGACATGAAATGTAGAAGTGGGGACATTTTTTTCCATCTCGCCACCAAATTCTCGAGAATATATACCTTCATAACTTTCTAAGGTTGCCAAGAACCACCCATTTACACTTTATCTTAGTATTTCTCCAAATATTTTTATATTTGCTATCGATAAACTTATGGGGAAAAGATGGTGTGGGGATTATTTCTCCCTGTGACAGTCGAGAAATGAGGCACAGAGAAGAGGCTTGCCAAATATCACTCAGCTAGTACTTTCTCTTTCTGTCAGGGCAGGCCACCTCTACACGTTCTATTGTGGCTCCTTCTGTCTCAGTCTCAGAACGAGAAGGTCCCTGGTTAAAGCAGGAGATAAAGAGTATCATGAATTGGTAGGGTAGGGTAGGGTAGGGTAGACTTATCAAGAGGCTTTGGAAGTTCTTAAAAATAATTTCTGGGTGGCTGGGTGACTCAGTCCGTTAAGTGTCTGACTCTTGATTTTGGCTCAGGTTATGATCTCAGGGTCCTGGGATCGAGCCCTGGGTTGGGCTCCTTGCTCAGCGGGGAGTCTGCTTCTCTCTCTCTCTTGGCCCCGCCCCCTGCTTGCACTTGCGCTTTCTTTCTTTCTCAAATAAATACATAAATCTTTAAAAAATAATAATAATCTCAGATACATAAGGATGACTGAGGAATTGACTGTCTTTGGGTTCCTTCTCTACCTGTAGGTTCCAGCTAGATCCGTACCACTCACAGAAGCCTTGACCCCAGTGCTGGGTGAATCCCAGGGCAGCAGCCCTCTCTGAGTGGACAGGGAGGAAGGGAGCCATAGCTGCCTTTTCCTTGTGCCTGGAAGGTTGGTGAAGGCTGCCCTACTCCAGGGCACCATGGCCTGAGGTGGACACTCACCCCTTCCCCATTAATACTGGTCTCCCTTCATACTCATGAGCACACCTGGATACTGGACACTTACCCAGTCCTTGGAGATTTTCCTGCATAGACATAAGCTTCTTGTCATAAATGGCCTGGGCCAGGGAGATGTCTTCTGAGAGAGAGTCCACTTTCCTGAAAACTGTATGGGAAATACAGATGAGAAACTGGGGCAGGGTCTTAGTTCAGAGAAATGGCAATCATTTATTGAGAAGGTATTTTTACCAGCCTCTCTGCCACCAAAACCTTTCACCCTTCTATGGGGCTTTTCAGTGGTGGTAAGGGAAGATGCTTCTTATGGCCAGAGTTCGTCATGCATTCCTTAAAAATATATATCTACATCTATCTATAGATCTAGGCAGATCTATATCTCTTTATACATCTCCCTTAAGTGTTTACGTGTATGTATACATATACTTGTGTGTATGTATGTATATGTATGTGTGTGTGTGTGTGTGTATACATATATATATATCTCCCTCCAGATTTTAAAACTAGGACCTGACCACAGGCTAGACTAGAATAGGGAAAATTAAGAAAAAAAAACACAAAAAGAATATAAAAATTATTTTTAATCCTACCACTGAGAGATAATAGCCATCAATATCTCCGTGTATCTCTTAGACTCTTACTTATCTCCATAACCATTCTGTAGTTACATAGATATATGTATACTCTTTTAGAAAACAACAACAGAAACCTGGAATGTTTAGAATATCTCATCTATTTTCTTTCATTTTGCTTCACTGGTATCATGTCATGGACATTTTCCTATTGAGGTTTAAATCACTTTTAAAATCATTAATTTTAATGTCTGTATCATACTCTATATAAATGACTCAGCGATTATATAAAAATCCCCTGTGGTTGGGGGACCCTTCTGAGCCTACAAATAAAACTTGATATGTAAATATGAGTAACACTTGTTCCTAGAAATAATCCTTATATTTGATGGTTGTGTGTATATGGTTATTCTCTTAGGATAAATTGCTTGAAGTAGAATTAATGGGTCGAAGGGTATTAATATTTTTGAAGTTGGACACATGGTTCCAAAGTGACCCCTAGGAAAGATTTTACCAGCTTATACCAGCTTCTCAGGGGCCAGTGCTGGCCAGGGGTTAGAGCACATCTGGGCAGCAGCAGGATCCCTGGCTTTCTCTAGCAAATGCCTGGCTGGATGGGGAAGTGAGAGGAGAGGACGGGGTAGACAAGATGCTTCCCACAGAGCCTACGAAGGTAAGTTCCGGGGGATGGAAAGTCCTCCAACAAGAGAGTTAGGGAATGCAACTTCTGGTCCACATTTGCCTCAGATTTGTTGGGTATCTTCAGGCAAGTCAGTTAATCTTTCTGCAGCTTGACTGAATCATCTGTAGAAGGAAAGTATGAAGCTAGATGACTTCTAATGTTCTTCTCAGCTCCAAAATTCCATTTTTTTGGAATCTCTGGCTTTTAATTAACATTGTACATCTCAGAGCTGTTGAGACTTAAATACCAGCAGTGACATGTTGAGAGATCCTGGGAACAGTTCCCTAGAGTTTATAGTATTTATTATTCCATTTGAGCCTTCCCCAAATTAAAATTGCTTATATAGATGGGGGGAACAGAGGTGTAGAGAGGCTGAATGACTTGGATTCCTATCCTAATGCTTTATAAAGTCTACCTCCAAGCCAATAGCCAAGGGCTCATTCATGTAATTCACCCTGTTCATTTCTTCACTGTGCATTTCAAGATCTGTAATCACATATTAATTTGCTTAGTGTTTTCCTTACTTTTTAGATCTTATTTTTTTCTCATCCTTTCAAAATTATGTCTTATAATATATACTAAAAAAAGTACACATATATAATTTATAAATAAATACATATATTTTACAGGTGTGAGATTATCATTTTTTTCTTTCCTAATATGTAAGCATAAAAATTTTCAAACACAGCAATCAAGACTTGGACGTGACTATCCTACTCGTACAGTGGGCAGTAGTGACTGTCTGCTTTCTATAATTAACATTTTACTATATTTACTTTCTTGTACATCTGTCCATTTTATCTTTTTATCCATTCATCAGCCCATCTAATTTTTTGATGTATTTTATTTTATTTTTTCTTAAAGATTTTATTTATTTATTTGACAGAGAGAGACACAGCAAGAGAGGGAACACAAGCAGGGGGAGTGGGAGAGGGAGAAGCAGGCTTCCCATGGAGCAGGGAGCCTGACTCGGGGCTCGATCCCAAGACCCTGGGATCATGACCCGAGCTGAAGGCAGCTGCTTAACCGACTGAGCCACCCAGGCGCCCCTGATGTATTTTAAATCAAACTTTTTATTGATGGGGTGCACGGTCAAAAAAAGTTCATAGGTTATTGCTCTAGGCCTAGGGTTGGCAAAGCAGGATCTGCACGCCGAATCTAACCCAGGGTTACTTTGTTGGAACAAAGCCATCTCCATTCATTTACGTATTGTCTCTGGCTTTACGATGGCAGAGTGGTTTTGACAATGACCATGTGTGGCCCGTAAATCCTAAAATATTTACTACCCTAGCCCTTTACAGGAAATTTGCCAAACCTTGCTCTAGATTATAAGCTCCATAAAGACAAGGCCTATATTTTATTAAGCAGTATATGCCCAGTGCCTATCACAGTTCTTGGCTTACAGTATGCATGCAACAGATAATCCAATTAAATGAATAAGTGGATTTTCCAAGTCCCTATGAGGAAGACTGATTTTGCTCAACCCTCTGGACTTTATCCACAGTCCTGACCATAGTACCTTGACTAGGACGGTCCACATGTATACTCACAAATCTCTAGTCATTCATTTGACGAATATTATTGAGCACCTACCAACCAGGTCAGGATGGTGTCAGCTCTACTCTAGGGACTTGGGATACCCAGGCTGGAGACAAAAACAAAAAGGAAGCCTAAAGTTCTCCCCGGATGCCCCGAATGCACTCCTCAACCACAAATTATTATGATCTTCTGCTCATTCACTCTGGATCTTAGGGCAAATCATTTCACCTTCCCAGATATGTGGAATGAGGTCGGCCTCCCATTTCGGGGCTCGTTGAGATGATTCGTGGATATCATGTATGCGCTAGGACCTGGCACCTGGTGGGCACCCCATCACTGTCCACACCCTCTGAAGTGGGTCGGCGCCTGTGTTCCACTCTGGGCTCAGGCCTGTGGCTCCCGGAGCTTTATTCATGGTCCTGCAGGTGTGGAGAGCTGAGGCCCTGTAAGGCCTGGCCAGGAACAGACTTGGGAAGTTCAGTCCTGTTTGCTACCTCATAATGGTGGACAGCAACTCCTCCCTCCTTCCCGGGCAGGATCTGGGCCCCTTTCTGAGAAGCCAAGCCCCATGAAGTGATTTAGTAGAAAGAAGTGGGGCTGAACGGGGTGAGGCGCTTGGAAAGTTCTTGAATTGAATTTTCAATGCTCTTTGAAGGGTTAGAATCCCCCAGACAAAATGGAGAATTGCTCTCTCTGATGGTGAAATGTGAGGGACTCACCTTGATGTTCCTATCACCTGGTACAAAGTAGGTGCTTGGCTTCTGTTGGATTAGTTAAAACCATCAGGACTCCTGGGACATGACTAGAGTGTCTATTCTAGTCATTACCATGCTGGCCTCTTGCCCTCAAGCCAAGAAAGCCAGTTGCTGAATATCTCTAGCCAGGCCCGGGAGCAGGTGCCTCCTAGACTGAGGCACCCCCGCCCCCCGCCCCCATTCCTCACTTGTCTCACCTGAGTCCCGGCCTTGTCCCCAATGCCTAGTCCATCGGAACAAACAAACTACTGGCCTCCCTTAGGAAAGACATCTGGATTTTCTCAATCTGAAGCTGACTGGCTTGGGACTGCAGCGAGAAGGCGTCAAATTCGTTTCCCTCCGTTTAGCATGATCTATTAGCATCCAGAAGGCAGAGGTTGCCCGAACCTGGCTGTGCGCCACCATCTGGGTTGGCTACCATAGCCATACAAGCTGTGGTGTGTATGACAGCCACCACACTCCAGGTCCCTGGCCTTCACCTGCAGGGCTCCGCTCTAACAAGCGAGGTCCAAGTGAGACTCAGGAATTTGCATTTTAACAAATACTCGGGATGACCTTGATGCAGGCAGGCATCCAACCTCACTTTGAGAAACGCTCACAAAGACCATGGAAGGGGCTTCGAAATTGCCCAATCCAGGGATCTCAGCCCTGGATGTACATTACCTGGGGTGGGGCCCATGCACCAGTATTTTTTCAAAGCTCCTAGGTGATTCTAACATGGAGCTGAAATGGGGAAACACGGGGCTGGTCCTGTCCTCTCATCTTACCAGTAGGAAAACAGAGGTCCCGAGAGGGGAAGTGCCTTGCTCAAAGCCACACAACTACTTACGGACTGGAAATCAGAGGCCAGTCTTTGAAGTCTGAATCAAGTATGAAGATTCCCCAGCCAGAAAGATGCTGGCCTACCCCGAGGCTGCGGGGCGCCTGCACTCACCCAGGGAGGCCAGCACGGCCACGGCCACTAGGAGCAGGGCCAGGAAGAGGTAAAGAATCCGCACCGATGTGTGCAAAGACAGGTTCTTCTGGCAGCGGCTGCAGCGGGGCCCCGGCCGGTCTGTTGGAGGACAAAGGAGACCAGTGGCTGAGGCTGCAGGTAAAGGTCCAGGTTCACGTTCCCGCTCCGAGCTATCTCATCACCTCTCAAACCAGCCTCAGAAGGGGAGTTGTTCCCCATCCTCTGCCCATGTCTGCCCATCTCACCGTGTTCTCTCTAGGTCCTCGAGCTTTTAGCAATAGAAGAGACCAGAGTCGGAGTCTTCAAAGAACACCCCCATCAATGCCATCCTCTCTCTTAGGGCAACATCAATGGGCCCAAGGTGTAGGGAAACACCTCTTCAGGAAGACACATTGGCCTTATGATGGTCCACAACATGAGGCAGCCGGCCTGTGTCACCATTGGGTGACTAACGTGTCCCACTGTGCCTAGGATATTCTGGGCTTTAGCCTCGAAAAATCTCCTATTGTGGGAATTCCTCAGTATGGGGCCAACCAGTCACACACCCTGGGAAACCCCTCAGCCCCCAAACGTCTCAGGTGACAAGGAGTTCTCCTGGAAACGGAACGAACGGTTTCAGCCCACCGGCTGGGTCCCTGGTATGGAAGAAGAAGGAAGCCAGGTGGCCAAGGTCCAGTGGGAATGCAACTGTGAAACTGTTGTGACATTTCTAAGGCAGATTCGACTTCAGCTGCACATTACGAGTACTGGGAACGTTTAAAACTCCTGATGCCCCTTTCCTACTCCAAACCAAAAGGAATCAGAATTTCCGAGGGCTGGTCACGGGCTTCCTGGGGTGATTACAATATACAGCATGGGTTGAGAATAGCTATGCTAGTCTATCCTGAAACCCACCCAGAAGCCCTCCTCTAAGTAACAGTTCAGGTGGCATTGGTGTCTGAGATTATCCATTATCCGTCAGGTGGGTCCAGAAGGTCAAGGGGATGAGCCACTTGGGTGGCATGGGATATGGTGAAGGGGACAGTTCTGGGCCAGTTAGAGGCCAGGCTCTGGGGGAGATGGCAGAGGTCCCTGACTGGTCTCAGGAGGAGCCCTGGAGACTGATGTCACTCGTGTCAAACTTTGACGTCATCTACACTGCATAACCAGGCCGATGCAACTCTGCCCTTCTACCCTCCAGGGAGCAGTGGAGCAAGGACAGCCAGGATTTTGAAGCCATGTGGAGAGATAAGTCACCAGCCTAGGGATGGGGACAAGGAGATCAGAGGGCAGCCCCCAGGGCCCTTACCCTCTGGTGTGCATGGGAAGGTCGGCATGTCCTCGTTGTCACCAGCCAGCTCCTCTTCTGTAACACACAACGCATCTCCGTCGCCGGTGGGCGACCTCACTGTGATGGAGCCGGTGCGATCAGACCCGGGGTGGGAACCTGGAGCCACACCCACCCCTCTCCAGCTGCCCCAATCCCCACACCCCAGGCCCACTCCTGCCCTTGAATCCAAGTCAGCCCGCTGGAGCTCCAGGTGGCCGGACAGTAAGCAGAGGAAAAGGGAAAGGAGGTAAGAATCAAGTGGCTGAGGAACTGAGATATCCCAACACATGTGGGTAAGGAGATGTTATGATCTCCCACAGGCTGGTAAAGATACACAGGCCAGCTCAACTGCCTGTTGTCTTCTGCACCTTGCTCAGACCCTTGGGGTGGAGTAAGAAGGAATAAGAGCCGGTTGTTTGATCCAGCTCAGCATCCTTCCATTTCCCGGCACGTGGTAACACAAGCCGAATTCCTTTGCTCCAAGGTCAAGGGTGAATCTGCAAGACTCTGCATCCAGCCCAGCTGGGGGCCTGCAGAGAGGAGGAAGTGGGAGCGAAGAGGATAGGAGATGGTCACAGACCTCTGCCTCACACACTGCCTCATCCGGGACCTGACAGGGTGTGGAAGGGACCATGGGAGGAGTAGGTCTCATGTGGGAAGGCTGATCTGGTAGTGGTTGCCTGGGATCATGTGTTCCTTAAATAAGACCTAGGTGATGGATTCCCTCATTCAGAAGAGTGCTCTTGTTCCCCAGACACCTCATCCCTCCTTCTCCTTACAAGACCTGGTCTTTTGTAAATGATGAGGAGAAAGATGCCCAAAATAGGCAGAGTGAGCCAAATTCCCAAGTGGGTGTTTAAGAATTGAGCTAACCAGTACTTTTGCCCTGGGAAGTGTGTGTGGGGCAGGGGGATGTGCAAGCTGATCATGACAACCAAATTCCCGGGAGATGTCTGTTGAGGGGATTTTTTACAACTATGCCTCAGGGCACCTGGGTGGCTCAGCGTGTTAAGCGTCTGCCTTCGGGTCAGGTCGTGATGTTGGGGTACTGGGATTGAACCCCACACTGGGCTCCCTGATCAGCGGGGAGCCTGCTTCTCCCTTTCCCTCAGCCTCTTCCCCCACTTGTGCTCGCTCTCTCTCTCAAATAAATAAAATTAAAAAAAAAACTATGCCTCAAAATCCAGAGGCAATAAGAGAAAAAACTGATATATTTGACTATATGATAATAAAATGCTTTTGCATGACCAAAAAACTGGGAGAAAATATTAACAGTACATATTACAGATAAAGGGCTAATATACCAAGTTTATAAAGAGCTTTAAAAAATTCAAGAAATGGAATGAATTCAGTAATCACAGGATACAAAATTAATGTACAGAAATCTACTGCATTTTTTTAAATGTAGGTTCCACACTGGGTGTGGAGCCCAATGCAGAGCTTGAACTCACGACCCTGAGATTGAGACCTGAGCTGAGATCAAGAGCCACCCAAGCACTCCTGTTGCATTTCTATACATTAATAATGAAGCAGCAAAAAGAGAAATTAAGGAATCAATCTCATTTACAATTGTGCCAAAACCAATAAGATACCTGGGAATGAACCTAACCAAAGAGGTGAAAGACCTATACTCTGAAAACCATAAAACACTGATGAAAGAAATTGAAGATGACACAAAAAAATGGAAAGACCTTCCATATTCATGGATTGGAAGAACAAATATTGTTAAAATGTCTATACTACCCAAAGCAATCTACACACTTAATGCAATTCCTATCAAAATACCAACAGCATTTTTCACAGAATGAGAATTAACAATCCTAAAATTTGTATGGATCCATGAAAGACCCTGAATAGTCAAAGCAATCTTGAAAAGAAAAACAAAACTGGGAATATCACAAAGCTAAATTAATCAAAATGGTATGGTACTGGCACAAAAATAGACACATAGATCAATGGAACAGAACAGAAAACCCAGAAATAAACCCACAATTATCCGGTCAATTTATTTTTGACATAGGAGGAAAGAATATGCAATGGGAAAAGGACAGTTTCTTCAACAAATGGTGTTGGGAAAACTGGACAGCTCCTTGTAAAACAATGAAACTGGGCCACTTTCTTACACCTTACACAAAAATAAACTCAAAATGGATTAAAGACCTAAATGTGAGACGCGAAACCATAAAAATCCTAGAAGAGAGTACAGGCAATAATTTCTCTGACATCAGCTGTTACGATCTTTTTATAGATTTGTTTCCTGAGATAAGGGAAACAAAAACAAAAATAAACTATTAGGACTACATCAAAATAAAAAGCCTCTGCATGGGGAAGGAAACAATCAACAAAACTAAAAGGCAACTTACAGAATGGGAGAAGATATTTGTAAATGACATACAGATAAAGGGTTAGTATCCAAAATATATAAAGAATGTATAAAACTCAACACCCAAAATATGAATAATCCAATTAAAATGGGCAGAAGACATGAACAGACATTTCTCCAGAAGAGACATCCAGATGGCTAACAGACACATGAAAAGATGCTCAATATCACTCATCATCAGGGAAATGCAAATCAAAACCACAATGAAATATCACCTCACTCCTGTCAGATGGCTAAAATCAACAATACAATAATCGTTAAGTGATGGTGAGGATGTGGAGAAAAAGGAACACTCATGCACTGTTGGTGGGAATGCAAACTGGTGCAGCCACTGTGGAAAACAGTATGGAGGTTCCTCAAAAAGTTAAAAATAGAACTACCCTATAACATTATGATCCAGTAATCACATTACTGGGTATTTACCCCAAAATACAAAAACACTAACTCAAACGGATATATGCACCCTGATGTTGACTGCACGTTATTTGTAACAGCCAGATTATGGAAGCAGCCCAAGTATCCATTGATAGATGAATGGATAAAGAAGATGTGATAGATATATATATGTCACATGGAATGGAAAATCATTCAGCCATAAAAAGAATGAAATCTTGCTATTTGCAACAGCATGGATGGAGCTAGACAGTATAATGCTAAGAGAAATAAGTCAGTCAGAGAAAGGCAAATGCCACATGATTTCATTTGTATATAGAATTTAAGAAATAAAACAAATGAGGGGTGCCTGGATGGCTCAGTTGGTTAAGCGTCTGACTTTGGCTCAGGTCATGATAGCAGAGTCCTGGGATTCAGCCCCAAGTCGGGCTCCCTGATCAGTGGGGAGTCTGCTTCTCCCTCTCCTTCTCCCTCTGCCCCTCCCCCTGCTCATGCTCTCTCTCAAAAAAATAAATAAAATCTTGAAAAAAGAGAAAAACATCCCCTAAACAAATGAAAAGATGTTCAACTTTATTCATAAGATAAATGCAATTTTTAATTTTTTAAAAAAGTTTATTTATTTATTTATTTTGGAGGTGGGGGAGGGACAGAGGGAGAGGGAGAGAGAGAATCTTAAGCAGCTCCACGCTGAGTGCAGAGCATGATGTGGGGCTCAATCTCACAACCCTGAGATCATGACCTGAGTGTAAATCAAGGGTCAGATGCTTAACCAACTGAGCTACCCAGGTGCTCCAAGGTAAATGCAATTTAAAACTACAGTGTGAAAACATTTCTCACCCATCAGATTGCCAAAAATGCAGAGGCTGACGATATACTCCATTGGTCACACTATGGGGCGTTGGGGTGGGAATGCAAATGGCCCAGACCTGGTGGAGGGAAATTTAACATATACATTTGCCCTTCGACCCTACAATCACACTTCTATGAATTTATCCATAATATACACCTCCAACAATCTGAAAACATATATGACAAAGTTATTCACTGCAGGATTATTTGTAATTGCAAAAACTGAGAACTATCTAAATGTTCAGCTACGGGAGATTGGTTAATATACTATGGTTATATACACACAGTGGGATTCTGTGCAGCTATACAAACAAATAAGGAGATCTCTATTCACTGATATGGAGTCATTTCCAGGGGATACTAAATACAAACAGCAAAGTGCAAAGGAGCATATATAGTATGCTATCTTTTTTGTGAGAAAGAAGGGAAAATAAGAAAACATGCATATATCTGCTTATCGGTAAAAGAAGAAACACAGGAAGGAAAAAAACAAAAAACAAAACGTTGTTTCCTATGAAGGATGGGGTGGGGGAAATGGGGTGGTAGGGACACAGAAGGAGTGGCATTTCTCTGAGTGAAACTTTTGGTATAGTTTTGACTTTTGAAAACATATTAATATTTTACCTTTTCAAAAAATTAAATTTTATTGATCAAAAAAAAAATACCCCACCTGGAACCAAATGAACTTTACTTACATTCTGAAGGAATATAATAAGCATACTGAAGTGGGGGGGCGTTGGGAAGGAAAGAAGAACTAATCTAATAAATGCGCTAAGATTATTTAATCTAAGTAAACTAAATTAGTTTTGACTATGCAATCTCTGGGATATGGCAGGGTATAACTGGGGAAGAAGTGCAAACAAATCTTAAATTTCTAAGGTAATTTTATTTATTATTGTAGCATGGGTAAAGCAATTCTGAAATTATTTTAGATTAATTCAAGACTGAACAAATGAGGGATGCCTGGATGGCTCAGTCGGTTAAGCGTCTGCCTTCGGCTCAGGTCATGATCCCAGGATCCTGGAATCGAGTTCCTCATTGAGTTCCTTGCTCAGCAGGGAGCCTGATTCTCCCTCTGCCTGCCGTTCCTCCAGCTTGTGTGTGCTCGCTCTCTCTGACAAATAAATAAATAAACTCTTAAAAAAAAAAAAAAAGACTGAGCAAATGAGTAAATGCTTTGATGTGGTTTGGACCCAGGGTTTTTCATTATGGAAAAGGGAACCCAGAATTACACTTCCAGAAATATGGAATGGGGAGATAAGAAAGAACCCTTGGGGATGGACTGAAATTGAAGGTATCGACATAAACTGATAAGGTGCTATATGTTAATTAGCATGTATATATTCACGCTTATATGCATACATAACATGTATATGTATCTGTATGTGTAGGTATACATATACATAAACTTTGCTGAAAGGTCTAGGAAGCAAAGACACTGAAATCACAATGAACACTCTGAGCAACCCAGATCTTGGTGGTTAATACCATTTCCCACTTGAAAAAAGCCAGGGATCCTTGGAGAAATGGCTGATTCTAGGGTTGGGATAGAAGGTAGGTAAAAGATGAATCTGGAACATCTTATTTCAGAAATTAAAAGAATACTAAAAAAAATGATAGGGGCATGTCATAAGGAAACAGAAACCATCCTGAAGATGTCCTCACTGGCCAACTCTGGAATAATTTGAGCCCTAAAATAATTAAGTATAATAATTCTATTGTAAGTCATTGAAAAAATAGGAATTCATGAGGGCGCCTGGGTGGCTCAGTTGGTTAAGCGACTGCCTTCGGCTCAGGTCATGATCCTGGAGTCCTGGGATCGAGTCCCGCATCGGGC